ATTATATAATGTATGTCGCACTAAATCGAATATGAATATTTTATATAGATGCGAATACAGTTCTATATATGTATTATGTATACACATACAAATCCGAACAATATTCTTGGAAAATGAATCTTTCAACCAAGTGCTATTGTTAATATCTTAAATTTATTTCTTATGTTACGTTTTATGCATTAGTAACATGCGTAATATCAATATGATGTATGAATTGTTGCATACGTTATGCGATCACACGCAATGCGTTTGTATTATATTAATTATTGTATTATTTGGTATTGTATATATTTATAATTATTATAATAGCAAGAGAACGGGACAAATTTTTGCCTCGAAATTCCTGTTACTTTATGAATCGGTAGTTGGTTCAGTGTTTAAATATTAATTTACAAGAAAAAGTAAGACCATGTATTATAATTTTAAAAAATACATCGTTCATATATACTTGAATATACAATGAAGTACACATTCATATTGTGCGAACTCATTAGAATCGAATTACGTTCCTATTGTAAATTTTTCTTACAATTTTTTATTCAAATAATTACAATAGAAATGTGCTCTTTTTATTTTTAATTTTACATGTTGGACGATGTAAAATAGTGAAAGAGTATCTAATAGATATATAACAAAATTTTTTATATATACGAGTATTCAGTTAATTTACATTATCGACATTTTATCGTGTATTAATTTGTACAATTTTTATGTTATATCTTCCTTTTAATAAATTTTCCTCTAAAATAAATTAATTTTCTCTATTTTTTTATATTTCCCTCAAATCTCAATTTATACGTAATATCTCAATGTCTATCAATAAATTATCTATACATTAATTAATTTTTTTTATTAATGTTATAAACAGGTCTGCATAAGATAAATCTAGTATTTTACGTATTTATTGAATAGGTAGTAATAGAGTATTCAGTTGAAATTTACACAAAGTAGTTAGCTCCTTTTTAGCAATTTTTAATAATAAAATTCATATACGAAGAAAGTCTGGAAAGTTTTGAACCTAACATAGAAACAAGTACTTTTTCGATAAAAATTCAGTTTTATTTTTCAACATAGTCTCCCCTGCTGCAAATTCCCATGGGTTTTTTCATAGGTTCCTATAGAGGACTATAAGATTCTGTAAGAGCTTGTGTAGTTACCTATAGGGTATACGTAGGACATCCATAGGAATGCAATAGGTACCCACAGGAATGTGGACAGATGCTTCATGAGAACTAAAAGGATCTGTAGGATATCACAGTTTGACATATAGTAACATGTAGACGTACGTAAGACAGTGGGAAGATATCCCATGGGAACTGAAAGTGCCTATAGGCTACCATAGGATAATGATATATACACATCTCTGTCCTATGTGCACCTACATGTTCCTATACGTTCCTATACAAAATGTATCCTATAGGCCTTTAATTCCCATAGGCATCTCTTCCGCATTCCTATGGGTACCTATACTAACTTGAGAGAATAATTCATAACTCTTAAAAACTGGAAGCCACGATAATAATTAATTAATAAACGAGGTACGTTCCACGTCGGGTGAAAAAAAATCCTGATTGTCATAAGAAAAATAATATACTCATATAACTTTTTTGGGTCACCAAACGCATCTTGTTTATCACATATGACCTTCAATTTTTGGAGTAATGGAAAAATTATCTTAGATTTTCACGTGGAATTACACCAGTCGGCTGTTACAGCATTTTGTATACACACTCAAATATGTATATTATAGGAACTACAAGATGTCTCAGAATATTTGTGACTATTTTGGGACTATATACAGGGTGTCTCAAAATATTTGAAACTATTTTCGTATGCAGATAGAGCGGATTAAACTGAACCGAAAGATCCTCTATCATTTTGCAATTTTCGCAATTGTTACCCAATGAGCAGAATGTCTAAAATCGACGCATGAGACAACTTTAAGATATCTTTAAAAGTTCTTTGAAAAACATCTTTAAAATATGTTAAAGAATTTCGAAAAATATCTTAAAGTTGTCTTATGCATCGATTTACCCGCTTATTCGACAATCTTTAGAAAATAATATCTCGTTAACTATTGTGAAAATTGCAAAATGATACAGAGTTTTTCGACTCACAAGTCAGTTTAGTCTATTTTATCTGAATTTTATACGAAAATAGTCCCAAATATGGGACATCCTGTATATCATTTAGGTCCGATTGCATCCGTTATTTTGATTTTAAGTAAAAGTTTAAAACTCTCTTCCTCTCTCTCGGTCGGCTTGAGAGAGAGAGAGAGAGAGAGAGAGAGAGAGAGTTATACGCCTCGCTCAAAGTCAAAGTAATGTTGATGCAATCGGGCCTTACTCACATAAGAGAAAGAAAAGAAATACTTCATAAATGTTTATTTGTTTACTTAATAGAAGTAAATATACTTACAATTATATATAGGATATTTGTTATATTAATTCTGCGCTGCTTATAATTAAAGATCATATTTATATATAAAGAACATATACATATACAGTGAGTACAAAAAGTATTCGTACACAGAGAAAATATTTTTTAAAAAAACTTTATTTTTAAAAAGTAAATATTATCCAACGAGAAATGAGTCATCGAATTGATGTCGAATCGATACGATGATTTCAATTGACGTCGATTCGACATTTAATTGACGATCATTTCATGTTGGATAATTAACATTTTATTCACAAAGATTAAAATAGACTGTATGTTTCTTAAAATTATACATACCAAAAAGATGAATACTAATTATAGAAAATATATCATCTAAAAAATAAGTGAAAATTAAAAATTGTATTGTTTGGATGCTCAAAAAGTATTCATACAGTCCAGAAGTTTAGCTTCTAAAATCAGGAATACATACGAAGCACATTTGTTAGAACAGAATGTATTCATTGTATAAAATTGCTAATTAAGACTTATTTTCTATAAATAAGACTTTTTTTATAACAAATTTCCTTGTACGAATATTTTTTGCTCTCACTGTATATATAAACACTTTTAATAATTAACAATATGGCACTGGAAAGAGAAGTTTCTTTAGAATAACGAAATATGTATGGTATATTGAATTTGAATAGTGATAAAAAAATTCTGAATTGTAATAATCTCGTTTTTTAGAGGTGGAGTAGACACGTCGTTAATAGTGATACAAATTTACACATAGTGATATGTATTTTTTGTGTTCATTTATTTCCACATATTAACGCAAATTGTTTTTATATCCGCAACAGGTATACCACCTTGATCAAAAAGTTCCCGGAATTATCATCAGGTGATGCTCTGAGTCAGCTGATTTGAGTTCTGTTTTTTTGGTTAGGTTGCCACATCTATCATTGACATTTCCATCAAATTTTATCGCCATAGCTTGACATTTGTAAAAGTTACGCCATCTTGAGTACATCTACCTCTGCACGGTTTTCGATTTTTTACAGTTTTAAAAATGGAGTTGAATTTGCAACATCCGTGAATTTTTGACCAAGAACGAAACGAATACCATCCAACAGCCATCGAATTCATCCAATATGGCTCCCTGCGATTTTTTTCTGTTCGATCGAGTCAAAAAACCATTACGAGGAACGCGTTTTAAGCCGAAAGGAGGTAATGGAAAAATCGAAAACCGTGCAGAAGTAGATGTACTCAAGACGGCGTAACTTTTACAAATGTCAAGCTATGGCGATAAAATTTGGTGGAAATGTCAATGATAGATGTGGCAACCTAACCAAAAAACAGAACTCAAATCAGCTGACTCAGAGCATCACCTGGTGGTAATTCCGGGAACTTTTTGATCAAGGTGGTAGTTTCGCATATATTATTTATGCGCTCGTATGTAAACAGATGATTTCTGCAATAAGGTCGGTGCGTATGATGTGAACAAAATTTTTGTCATTTAAACGAGCAAAGGAATCATCGGATCACGCATTTTTCTGGAGTGCAGACATGTATAACCATCTATCTTTCACTACTTTGGTGTAACGCATAGCATTACGCAAGTTCTGGTTATCTAGAATTACATCCGAGGTAAGGAAAGTAGGCCTGCCGAAATATCGAGTATCCTCGTATTTATAATTCGCTGGTACTTTGTTAGTTAATTGCATATAAAAATTATTAACCGCTGGTTTGCTTTTTGACAGGACAGCGATACTAACCAGTTCAACTGCTTTGCGAAATAAAATACTCCTACAGATTTGATAAGGGATGCCTTTTGCATTTTGTATAGGGTAACTCCGGCAAATACGCCGCGCTGGGATTTACGCCGCAGAAGTCAGAAAAAATAGAAAGAGTGGGGGTAATTTTCCCGTAACTACTCTGTTACATGCCTTTATGTTATATTAGTATTGTGTTATGATTTCAACTTCTTACTGTTAATATTAATGAATTTATTGTGAGTTGAATCGATCGTCACTGTAATAAGTAATGCTCATAAGTTATAATCTACATAAAATGATTAATGTAGGACGTGTAAAAGACTTAGTAGTTATTTCGTGATACATACGTGTAGTGGAATAGTAAAACATGTTTGTATTATTAAGCATGTTTGCATTATTTGTAAATTTTTCATGAGCCATACATACCCCCTTTCCCCCTATGAGTAGCCATATATCCCACCCCTATAAGATATGCGGCAAAAATACAAAGGTTTCAAAAAGTTTATTTTTTAATATGAAAAATAAATATTTCGGATTTCTAATATTTTTTTCGTAGTAGTAGACAGTACAAAATTTTTACTGATATAGTTCGTTTACCATAAACATAGTAAATAATACTTAATAAATTAAGTTTTTGATAGGTGCGGCGTATATACCGGAGTTACCCTAACCCTTATGAGTCTTCCGTTTTCAGTTTCAAATGGGAAAGCTGAACATGACCATAAAGGCCACCAGTTGTTTACACATTTAGCTATATGTAAAAGCTGATGTATGTTATATGTCATTGCTGATTTACCATAATATATTTGGACATAGGATACAAATTCACATAATAGTGCATCAACTTCATAAATCAACTAAAATAATAGTATCCGACAGCAAAATGTGCAATGCATGAACGAATAAAGACCAATGATTAATCAATTTTTGTTCGAGATTTCCATGTAATAGCGGACAACTATAAAATAGTACCCAGTTTTCCCATTCGCGAGCTTTCAAATAATGTCGTTCAGTTATTGGTCTTGGAAGATAAGCTACCTGTCGTAGAAATTTAATACGTAATAATGTTTTCGATATATCATCACTTTTTCGCTGATTTATGAACCTTTCGCTGCCAAATCAAATTTCGGCAAATTGTCGAGCTACTCCCAACAGTGTGCAATGTATATAATCCGGGACGAAACCTGACACCATGTCGAACTGAAAAAGATTAATTAAATATGACACAGATTTAACTCCTTTGATAGATTTATCGTTATCGCATACAAATTGCATGTTTTGTATATGTTCCAAATTGTTCCTTTCCTGCAATTCCTGATGTTGTAAAGTATATTTCACTGTGCCGGATATACTCTCGCCGGGATATAAACACCAATTACAACCGTAGAAACCATTGAATTGAGTTAGTCCTTGTAAAGGAGCACGTGCAACGCAATCAACACAGCACCATATCGCGAATAGTTTAATTATTCGATTTTCGCCCATTATTTTGCAACATATTCCTTTATTCAAATAGACATTCAGTTCTTCCACGATTGGATTACAGAAAGCATTCATATCAATGGTTTAGATTTTCTAAACCACAAGCCATATATTATTCGATTGTCCAGTCTACTTTGCGGTGGTAGTTCATTTATAATCATTTGGACACCAGGTCATATAGAACATTTAGAGCCTTGAAATACAGGAACACCATCCGTATTAAAAACGGCAATTGCATATAAATATCTATCACTTGGTTTCAAAGAATTCACAAAATCTCGGTACATTTTCCCATCGTAAATGTCACGTATCGTTTCAATATTGCCAGATGTTCTTTCGCATCGTATTATATTATCATAATAAATATCATGTTTTTCTAGTAATTTTAAGACAGTTGATGATACATCTATTGTTATAAAGAAATTATTTCGAAAGCTATTTGCACTAATAAGTTTCGCACATGAAACACAATAAATATCATGTAGAGATTTAGAAAACTTTTCTATGTATGCTTGGCAATACGAATAAATTGCATGAAAGTTTATTTGTCCAGATGAATTGAACAATTTCTCTATTACGCTCATAAATACCGCGAGCTCTGAAATATCGGACCAGCAAATATAGCGTTTACAAGTGCGAAAAGTTCTGATGTCGCAATTTGCGATAAATTATGTCGTATGCTATATTGCAGTATCATCATTAAAATCTCCCCTTTACTAACATTGACAGGCTGAACAATCGGAGCCATTAGATTCTCGTCTCGTAAAATATTACTTTCAAGAAAATCATAAATAAAAGGCGTATTTACTCGTGCATTATTATTATCTAATTCGTCATTAATCTCGTCAGCGTTATTTTCTTCAAAAAAGTTTAAGCTCTGTGTGTGTGTGTGTGTGTGTGTGTGTGTGTGTGTG